AAGGTCATGTGTTCGGTCAAAATTGGGTTTGTCAATTTTCGTTGTCCACGATTTCTTTCATCAATCATACACAACGAAAGGGACAGCTGTTGACACCCAATTTTGGCCTAACATTTTAAAAATTCGTGATTTTGAAGCTTTGTTTATTTAATAGCAAATTTTTGTCCGATGATTTTAAAATTCATACATTTTGAGTCAAATACAAAAAAAAAAAATGCCTTTCCCACATTGTCTCTCAAACAATTTTCAATTTTGCAATAGTCCCACATCGGTATTTCATCCTTTTTGAGGATTTTTGGGTTTCTATATAAGCCCACTTCATTCACTATTTTTAGGAGAGGAATTGGAGGGGAAAACAAAAGAATACTCATAATTTTTGAGAATTCTTGGTTCCCATAGTTTAAAAATTTTAAAGTGTTTTTGTGGTTTTTCGAGTTGAGGAGGTGGAGTCGTCTCTTTCAAACTCGGAGTTCTGGTTCGCTGCCCAGAACCAGGTAAATTATTTTTCTTAGCCTTGTTTTATTTAATACCGAGCTCTTTTATGTTTTCTGTTTATTATATGTAGCTTGTCTTGTTTTTTTAGTTTAATGTAGTTCTAAAAGTCAATTAATATTTGTGTTTATTGTAGTTTTAATATTAGCATTATTTAACTTTTCAGGATTTTGTTATTATTATATTTAAATGTTATTTTTAATTTTTATATATTATGTTATTGCTATTTCTATTTCTAATTATGTTGTTTTAGTTTGGAAGTTGTTTTCCATATTCTCTTGGGATAAGTTTGTTATGTTTTGTTGATATTCAGGTTATATTAAATATATTTGTTAAAGGGCCGATGAAAAATCTATCCGTCGGGTTTAGAGGCCTTCCCATTTTAAAAGACGGAAATCTAATTTAAAGTTTATATATAATTTTAGTTGTTGGAATTGGCCGATGAAGAAATTACCGTCGATTTCCAAGGCCTCTCATGTTAATAAGACGGATTTCTATTTTAGTTATTATTTGAGTTATTTATTTTTATTTATATTATTTTGACACTAACTCTTTTACTAAGTGTCTTTACAGGTACCCGGAGGTGCTTCTCCTTGAAATTATTCGAAAAGTTCGAATTGTATTTCATTCATTATTTTGTGAATATTGACGTTAGGCAAACTTTAGGCCGATAGTTATTGCTTTATTGTGTATATTGTGTGTTTATTATATGTGTTTATTTTATATCTTTCCTCAATTTGAAAAAAAAATGAATTCAGTCGGGAACCACATTTGTGGATTCCGAAGGGTGCCTAACCCCTTCCCTTCGGAATAATTTAAACCCCTTACCTAGAATCGAACTGGTTTCGTAAATCATTTAATGGTTTCCTAGTTTTTTCCTAAAATTAGGTGGCGACTCTTTTTAAAACTTGTTTATTTTTAAACTTTGTTAAAATTGAATCAATTAATTATTTTCGAGTTGCCGCGACGTTTCGTCCTATTTTGACAGAGTAGGGATGTAAACAATATACAATAAAATTTCTATAAATTATCGGTGATTAATGAGATGGGTGAACTCCTTATAAGGATTATGCAATCCTCTTCCCTTAGAGCTAACTTTTGGGGTGGAGTTAGGCCTGAGACCTAATTTCAACATGGTATCAACGCAGGGTCCGTCTCACCGGATGTTGGGACCCCCCAAAATCAAAATTGCCCATGCAGCAGATGCTAAGCACTGGGGGTGAGGTGGGGTGTTAAAGAATGACAAAAGTCCCACATAGTGGTTAATGAGATTGGTGGACTCCTTATAAGGCTTGGACAATCCTCCTACCTTTGAGTTAGCTTTTGGGGTGTGAGTTAGACCTATAACCTAATTCAATATGTATCTAATTAATTACGATATATTGCATGAAATGATATACAGTAAAATCTCTATAAATTAATACTTGATAAATTAATAATTTCTCTAGAATAATATTTTTCTCCAGTCCCGACTTGGGCCAATGGAAAAAAATCATCAATTTCGATAAGATAATATATATTTTTAGAAGACCCCTATATAAATATATGGTCCCATTAATATCATAAATTAATAATTATTTAAAAATATAAATATATTTAAGACAATTTAGTGAGATATGATTCTATTATGTTTAGTTTTTTTGTAAAAAAAAAATTAAATCTAGTTGAAGTTCATCAAAACTTTTCTTATTGCATCCAAGAGCTTTGATGTTGTCTTTTCAAACTGCACCATAAAATTGTGAAGAGTTTTGAATGCGATACGTGTTTCCTTATGCGTAACTAGTTCCAAAATGTATAGTATCATCTTCAGTTTCATCGTCAACATTGTTTTATCCGATAGTATCCACAATTTCTTCTAAACTTTTGAACTCTGAACATGTATCACTTTCACCCAAATAATGCAATAGGTTATTGACATCCACTTCATTATGGTGACTGAGATCATTACTCATGACCTCAAGTTAATGAATGACGTTTTCACAAGTGAGTTCATTTCAAATTCTGTGCGATTTCATCTCCCAAACAAATTTTACAGTGTCGAAAACAATTTGATATTGTCTCGTGCTGAATATTTATTGTCCAAGTAAGGACTGCAAAATTGATAGCATTCAAAACATCAATCTTTGCTGGATTAGTTTGTCCTACTTCATAGTCTTCTAATATCTTAGGATAAACTTTGTTACAATAGTACATCTTAAAAACTCTTATTATCCACGCATCATAAGGTTAAATTAGTAAGATACAATGATTTTGATATAATCAAAATTAACCTTCACTAAATCTTAATCCATTCTTTAAATTAATAAATATTAATTTATCGATTAAATCATATTACTATAAAATAATAAAATTTCATGATCCCATCTATATTAATTTATAGAGGTTTTACTATAACATTTACATCATATTTCACAAAAATAAAATAAATTTTGTCTTAAAATGCTTCACAAAGAACCACAAAATAAGTTTGAAAATATGAGAAATCTAACTTCTAATAATTTGATATCATTTATAGATAGAGACTATTGACATAATTAATTAAATTTAATAAATTAAAAACTCGAACCAACTCGAATTATGTGTAACCCCATAAATTAACATTCAGGAAAGCACTTTGGTGCTCCATGCAGGGGCAAAGGCAGAATATAATTAGTTAGGTTCATCCTAATCTCTTCGGCAGAAAATATTATTATATAGTGTTAAAATATAATAAATATCGAATCTCCTTTCACTAATTCGTGTGTATATTTCTCAGATTTGTAAATTTCTTTATTAAAAATTCTGATTTTGTCACCGGTTCCATGTAACCATTATATTTTAGAGGCTTAAATATGTCATTCGCTAAAAATTTGGTTTATTTATATCATTTTCGTTTGAGAAAACGCTCATTCATCTATTATTTGTTCACTGAATGACATAGTGAACCAAACTTTTAAATAATGATATAGATGAGTCTTTTCTCAAAATTTGACAACATATTTGAACATTTTCTCTTTAAAAATAATTTAATTAATGATGTGATCAAATCACAATTGACCACACATAGAAAAATTGCTTTGCAAATAGAAATAACATAAATGAACAATACTTTTTTTTTAATTTTATATTAATTAAGTATTCACTCGTTAAGTGGTTCTTTAATTGTTGAAGAACAGAAAAATCATTGATCGGGAAACTTCATAGTTAGAACTCAAAGTAAAATAAAGAATTGCATGTACGTAGATCAAGCCTACGTAGCGTTTCATAATTTTTAATTCCAAGTTGTTTGATATTTTAAAAAAATTCACACTTAATTACGTCTAGTAAAAACAACATAGACTATTATGTATGACCAGGAAACTTCTTTGTAAAGCAATAGAATTATATATATAAAAAGACAAATATAGTAGTCTTCAAATAATAATAAACTTAGCAAAATATTAAGGCCAGGTTCAATGGATAGTTCAATTAGTAAGTCCATTTTATAGAATGAATTTAATTAGCGTCTGGTAGTAAATGTCTAAATATTTTTGGGAAGTTAATTTTAATTCACGGCCTAAAATTAATATAAATATACTTTATATACGTATTTATTTAATAAAAAAATTACACTATTTAGATAAAAATTATTAGTACTTAATATTGTTCTTTCAGTTACTAGCTTTAAGTAAGATTTAATCTCAACATTATTAAAAACATCATTTTGAGACAATTATTGTATGTATTATTAACGTAATGATATAAGTATCATAGAATTTAACTATAAAAGTTGATGACTTAGTATACCTCATTTTAATATACTTACAGTAATGCTTGAAACTAAAATTTAAAAGAAATAAAAAAGAATCTATAATTTACTTTGTTTAACACTTTCACTGCTATTTCTTATTTTTAACAAAGTACAAAAAATATAAAAATATTTTTTATTATAAATAATTAATTTTTCTATAAAAAAATTTTTAACGATAATTTTATCTTGTCAAGAATTTGAGCCCCCAAATAAGGCAAATGCCTTGTTAAAAGGATAGAGCCGGCCCTGTTAATATGTTTATTATACTTTAGCAAGTACAAACAATTTTATACTTAAATAAAGATCTAACTATAGTTTTTAAAATATTTACGTACTCATGTTTTTTAACGTGAGGTTCAATTAATATGTTTATTATACATTTGCAAGTACAATAATTTAATACCTATATAAAGATCTAATAGTCTTTAAAATAATTACGTATTCGTGTTTTTTAATGTGAGGTTCAGCTAATATGTTTATTGTACATTAGCAAGTATAATAATTTTATACATATTTAAAGATCTAATAGTCTTTAAAATAATTACGTACGTATGCATGTTTTCAATGTGAGGTTCAATTACTATGTTTATTATTATACATTAACAAGTACAATAAATTTGAAATGCGGAGTTATTACATGTTCTAATGCTATTAAAAAATTAACCCGATCCTTAAACGTGTTTTTTACTTCATAATTTGGTATAAATAAATCCAACAAAACATGATGAGTTGATACACCATTTATCACAAAGGGTATTTTGTTTCCAAAAATCTTAAAATATGTCGTCATTAGATTTAAAGTGGAAAGTGTTATTTAGCGTTTCAGTAATTGTCAATTTTACATGTATTGTGTTGGTAATACTTCATAGTGAGACGACGCACCTAAGCTGGACAAGAAAAACCGCTACAGAAGCAGAGAAAGTTGCGTCTATTAGTTGTTCAGGACATGGAAGAGCTTATTTAGACGGCTTAGTACTCAGAGAAGACGGAAAACCGATTTGTGAGTGCAATGCATGCTTTACTGGCCCTGATTGCTCTCTCTTTAAACCCAGTTGCGCGGTTGATGTAGACAGGTGATTTACTACATATTGGAAACATAGATCGCGATTCACTTGATTTATTTCCAGTGTTGTCTAATTTTTTTTTTTTAAAAAAAAATATGTTGCAGCGGAAACCCTATGTTTTTAGAGCCATTTTGGAAGCAAAATGCAGGGAGTAGTGGTGTAATGGTAGCTGGATGGCATAGAATGGGCTATGAATTTGAGGATGGTTCGCTCATTTCTAAGCAATTGGAGAGTGTAATACACAAGTTACATGAAACTGTAGGAAATGCAAACACATCAAACAAGTACATAGTATTCGGCGTTGGCTCAACTCAACTTCTTAATGCCGCGGTGTATGCTCTTTCCCATCACAACTCCAATTCATCGCCTACCAAAGTGGTTGCTTCTGCCCCTTACTATCCTGTTTACAAATCACAAACAGAGCTATTGGATTCGAAAAAGTATAAGTTTAGTGGAGATACATCGTCTTGGAAAAACAAAACAAGGAGTAGTAGGACTAATTTCATTGAGTTTGTGACATGTCCAAACAATCCAGATGGGCACTTAAACAAGGCAGTTCTTCAAGGAAAATTTGCAAGACATGTGTACGATTTAGCTTACTATTGGCCACATTACACCGCAATTCCAAGTCCTATGGATGAAGATCTCATGTTATTTACACTTTCAAAGCTCACTGGTCATGCTGGTAGCAGATTTGGGTACTTAATCAACAACTCTTACTTACTCATAGTCATATATAATAATAATAATACGAGTTAAAAATTTTAAATTAATTAGTTTCCTTTGATATACACATGTAGATGGGCTATAGTCAAAGACAAAGATGTATACGAAAGAATGGTGGAATACATAGATTTAAACACTTATGGTATTCCGCGTGAAACTCAATTGAGAGCTTTAAAACTCTTAAACGTTGTGTTACAAGGAGATAGAAGAGAAATATTTCGATTTGCCCATACAATTATGAAGACTAGATGGGAAAAGCTCGCGGAGATGTTGTCTACTTCAAAACGATTCTCAATGGAACAACTTCCCTCCCAACATTGTGCATTTTCCAAACAAGTTAGGCCAACTTCTCCAGGTAGTTAATTAATGAAGCATCAACAAGCTAAGTGAAATTCAATATGCTTAACCATTTTTGTTTTTTTTACGCAGCTTTTGCGTGGTTAAAATGTGAAGCGGAAGAAGATGAAGAGTGTCACAACGTGCTGAGGGAAGCTAATATTATTGGTCGAAAAGGCGCTGTATTTGGAGTTGAAAATCGTTATGTTCGTCTTAGTGTTGTGAATAGCAGAGATGATTTCGATTTATTGCTGCAACGACTACAAGATTTAGTGTCTAAACACTTATCTATCGTCGATGCTGTCATGTCGCTGTGATCATTCATTTTATATCTTAGGAGAGGAACACTTTATATACACACAATTTGTTGATTCAACTTTAGTTAGTAATACCAAAAATCCATTATCATTTTGTATCTTACTTTAACCTAATCTTTTTCATTATACTTTCTAAAACTAAATCGGGAAATGCGCAAGTATCTTATAAACTATGACCAAAATTCATAGACATACTCTAACTAAATTAAGGTTCTATTACCTCTAAATATTTTTTATGTAGTTTTATATACCTTTAGTCTTACGTGACACACTCTGTGGCTCCACGCAATTATGGTATGTGAGAGATATTTGGATGTCACGTAAGTTAAAAAGGTGCACAAAATTACAAAAAAATAATAATTCAGAGGGTAATAGATCCTTAGAATAATTAAGGTGTATATCTGGGATTTCAATCATAGTTGTAAAATTAGGTCTTAGTCCTAACTCACACCCCAAAAGCTAGCTCAAAGGGAGGAGGATTGCCCAATCCTTATAAGGAATCCACCCATTTCATTAACCACCGATGTGAGACTTTTGTTTGTGGGACTTTTGTTTTAACAATAGTCTAGGGGGTACTTGTGTATTTTCCCAAACTAAAAAGTAAACTTGCTTCCCAAATTACTGCTTCATGAATAGTGTATGAACACATAAGTTTTGATAATTTTTTTGGATAATTTCAGATACTTTTTTTAAGATGGTTTCGCTTTATAATATTCACCTTGCACAATATACATATCTTACAAAATTTTTAAAAAAAAAGAGGTAACCATAATATCGTTCATAGGAGATGTTGAGTGTTATAGGATGAAATCTCGAGGGAGGCTTTTGAAATTATCCTTAATTTTATCACTTTTGTTTCTATTTGCATAGACTCTAATAAATATGATCATTATTAGCGGTAATTAATTTATAGCAATAGCTTAATTGTTATTAAATATGTATTTTTAGCGGCAATTAACACTTTTTGTATATGTCTCTAAAGCGTTTAATAACATTAATTCTAATAACACTTAACTAATATCGGTAAAATTTTTAGCACTCCTTATTAATGTCCATATTTATTACTAATAAAAATTATTTTCGTTGCACTGATAATGTATCTCAGTCAGTGAAATACCTTAGCATCCTAAATCATAAACCAAACTAATTAGGACAGGTTTTGACGTGTAAGGAGTAAGGACTCGACTCTTTTAGAATGTCAAAAAAAAAAAAGAAGCTACCTATTGAATTAAGGTTATGTTAAGACACCCTATTAAACTAATTATTATATGCTGGATTCATGACTATTAACTTCACCAAGTGAAATATGGAATTCGACAAAAGACGTAGGAATAGAACAGAAATTTTGCTTCAGCTAGTGATGTATGCCAGAAATTTTGAGTTTAAAAGTAATTAAATCCTTTATATTAAGCGTTATGGAATTTTTTTTTATCAAATTAAGTCATTATTTAAATTGATTTATTAAAATAATACTTTTTTTTTATAAAATTAGTATAAAAATATTTTTGAGTAACGTTTTGGTATTTTCATTTTAAAAATTCAACGGACATAACTGACGGAACTGATGACGTTATATGAATAAACGTCCCCTTGAGTAAAGTTTTACACCTAAAACGTTATTCATGAATATATTTATTGAGAATTCAATCACGGGCTACTCATCAATCCAATCCTGCAAATGCAAATGACAATGATTGAATTCTCAGTAAACATACTCGTGAATAACGTTTTAGGTGTAAAACGTTACTCAGTAGTACGTTTTAGGAAAATTTCGGCGTTTGAAAAAATGAAAATTGACTTCCTTTTATAGCCATTTTCAGCAAGAATCTGTTCAGACCCGTTTTATCCAAAAAGTTGTCTTTTGGAAAAAATAACAACTTTTCGGAAAAATGTGTTTGTTGGAAAAATAACGGCTTTTCGGAAAGTAACGATTTTTCGGAATGTAACGACTTTTCGAAATATTATGTTACCGTTTTTCGCAAATTTATAAGAGATAATATTAACATGATTTATTTGATTTAACAACAACTGATTAAATAAATTTTCTCCAAAAAATTTATCAATCAATCACATTATTTGCCAAATCCTAAGCCGAGCGAGCGACGACGACGGCGCGAGGGGGCATCTTCTTCTTAGCTCTTTAAAAAAGTAATGGAAGTGTTTCCTTATATAAGGACAACAATTTCCCTTTCTTTTGCCGATATGGGAGAAATGACTTTTCATTTGCACTTTGCAAATGACTTTTCATTTTCCTTCCAAAATAGTTCCCTCACTTTTCATATTCTCTCTTTTCTTTTTCCATTCACACTTGCTAAACCCCAACAATCCCCCACATGAATGGAGAATGCTATTGTTAAAACATATGCATGAAAAACTCGTGTGTCTTGTAGGTAAAAGTTAATCGCATCTGGATAAGTAGGTTTCCCTTTAAACTTTTCGTAGTGAACATATATCGGATATACTCGGTCAATCGATAGATTTGATATCGTTGAACCGTCGAGCTTTGGTGTATATCTAGACAACATATGTCACACAATCAACCCTTGAACTGCTCTTAGTTCTCATTGTTTTGTTCGTTTCAGCCATGAACACATCTTGGATAGTAAGTGCTTAAAGAACTGGCCTTACCGGATTCTCTTTGAAGCGGCTTACACTCCACACTTACATGGTGAATTTCTAAATGTGTTATCCCAATAGATACACCATTTGATATTCCCTGTATCAAACTTAGAAACCATTAAAAAATCCTTATGTCTTTATCCTGATTACTAAATATTGTCTCATCATGAGAATGGACCATGAAATATTAATTTTTCTTGACAATGTTGAACCGTCATCAATGACTTTGTTTTATCTCCTTGAACCTAGATCTTGGGATCTCCAGTCTTATAGGTAGAGTTACCGCCACGACGACTTGTTCTCGGCCATAGTCCCATTTCCATCGATGATTTCTCAACTCCCTCTCTATTTAGGCCTTTTGTAAGTGGATCCGACACATTATCTTTTGACTTCACATAGTCAATTGTGATAATTCCACTAGAGAGTAGTTGTCTCACAGAGTTATGTCTTCGTCTTATGTGACGAGACTTGCCGCTATACATAATTCTTCCAGTCCTTCCTATTGTAGCTTGACTATCACACTGTATGCATATAGGGGCCATTGATTTGGGCCAAAATGGAATATCTTCTAAGAAATTTCGGAGTCATTCAGTTTCTTCACCTGCCTTGTCTAAAGCAATGAATTCAGACTCCATTGTAGAGCGAGCTATACATGTTTGTTTGGATGATTTCCAAGATATTGCTCCTCCACCAATAGTAAAAACGTATTCACTTGTGAATTTTGTTTCAGTTGACCCGGTAATCCAATTTGCATTACTATATCTTTCAAGAACGGCTGGATATTTGTTGTAATGTAAAACATAGTTTTGAGTGTCATCTAAGTATCCTAAAACTCTCTTCATTGTCAACCAATGACTTTGTTTAGGATTACTTGTGTATCGACTCAGTTAAGTGATAGCGCAAGCTATGTCTGGTCGTGTACAATTCATGACATACGTTAAGCTACCCAATACGCTAGCATAGTCCAATTGAGACTGACTTTCACCTTTATTTTTTTGCAAGATGAAGGTTTACATCAATTGGAGTCTTCGCCTTTTTAAAATTCAAAAATTTGAATTTTTCAAGTATCTTTTGAATATAATGAGTTTGAGACAATGCTAGACCGTTAGGAGTTTTAAGAATTTTAATTCCTAATATCACATCTGCAACTCCTAAATCTTTCATATTAAACTTACTAGCGAGCATATGATTTGTATCTTTTATATTAGCAATGTCTTTGCTCATTATAAGCATGTTATCTACATATAGGCACAAAATAACTTTCTGATTTGGAGTATCTTTAATGTAAACACATTTATCACATTCATTGATCTTAAATCCATTTGACAACATGATTTGATCAAACTTTGCATGCCATTGTTTTGGTGCTTGTTTTAGTCCATAAAGTGACTTAATAAGTTTGTACACTTTCTTTTCTTTACCAGGAACTACAAAATCCTCAAGCAATTCTATGTAAATTTCTTCTTCAAACTCTTCATTTAAGAAGGTTGTTTTCACATCCATTTGATGAATTTCAAGACCGTATACTGCAGCTAGTGCAATCAACATCTGAATTGATGTAATCCTAGTCACTGGCGAGTATGTATCAAAATAATCAAGACCTTCTTTTTGTCTAAAACCTTTGGCAACAAGTCTTGCTTTAAATTTGTCAATAGTTCCATCATCTTTCATCTTCCTTTTAAAGATCCATTTTGAACCCAAGGATTTGTTCCCTGGAGAAAGATCAACCAACTCTCAAGTATGATTGCTTAAGATTGATTCAATTTCACTATTAACAGCCCCCTTCCAAGAGGTTGAGTCGCTAGACAACATTGCTTCCTTGAATGTTCGAGGCTCACTTTCAAGAAGAAATGTTACAAAATCTGATCCAAATGAAGTAGATGTCCTTTGACGTTTACTCGTCTTGTACTTTCTTCATTATGTTTATTCTCTTTTGGTTCTTCTCTGGGTTGTTTAGATCCCCCACTAGATGACTCAAGTATAGTTTTATACGGATAGATATGTTCAAAAAATTCATCACTATCTGATTCTATTACTGCATTATCATGAATATCCGAATGTTTGGACTTATGAACCAAAAATCGACATGCCTTACTGTTTGTGGCATATCCAATGAATACACAATCCACAGTCTTGGCCCTATTTTTACCCTCTTAGGTATAGGAACTTGGACTTTGGCTAGACATCCCCACACTGTGAAATATTTCAAGTTGGGTTTCTACCTTTTCATTTCTCATATGGAATTACATTTGTCTTTGAGTGAAGCACTCTGTTAAGTTTTTGATTTGCTGTAAGGATAACTTCCCCCCACAAGTTCTGTGGTAAACCTGAACTTATAAGTAATACATTCATCATTTCTTTTAAAGTTTGATTTTTCCTTTTTGCAATTCCATTAGACCGAGGAGTATAGGGAGCAGTAGTTTGATGGATTATTCCATTTTCTAAACATATTTCTGCAAATGGAGATTCATATTCTCCACCTCTATCACTTCTGATCATTTTGATCTTTTTATCTAACTGATTTTCAACTTCAGATTTATATTGCCTAAATGCATCTATTGCTTCATCCTTGCCATTTAGCAAATAGTCATAACAATATCTAGTGCAATCGTCAATAAAAGTTATGAAATACTTTTTCCCACCACGTGATGGTGTTGACTTGATGTCACAGATATCAGTGTGAATCAATTCTAAAGGATTTGAATTCCTTTCAACAGATTTATAAGGATTCTTAGCATACTTAGATTCAACACAAATTTGATATTTTAATTTATTGCACTCAAATTTTAGCAAAATATTTAAGTTAATCAGTTTTTGCAAGGTTTTGTTATTAACGTGTCCGAAACGTTCATGCCATAAACATTTAGACTCAAGCAAGTAAGAAGAAGCAAAATCTTTATTCATATCAACTGCAATTACATTGAGTTTGAAAAAGCCATCACTAAGGTAGTCTTTTCCTACATACATATCATTATTGCTTACTACT